GAGATCTAGATCGTTTCTTTTGGTCAACGAATTGTCAGAAACTAGGTGTACCGTTTATTTCCGCCAGGGGGATATTTAATAAGCTTACGTTTACACGAGTAACTCCTCGACGATGTTCTTCTTCAATATATCTGCTTGCGTCATCAGTGGGTAATTTTGTGGTTCTATATTATATAATATTATTTCGCCTGTTAATCGATGGTTTTGAAATTGATCTATAAATAGAGCATGATATAATCAAGTTTTGACATAAAACATACCCCATTTCTTGTGCAACATTTCTTGGTGGCAGCGACACTGGAAGACACAGGTTCACTTAGACAATGAACTGATAATGAGAGCACAGCAATTTTATTTCTGCTGCTTCATAGTATAAATTTTATACACTCTCAATTGTTGTGTACTACTATCAAGTTATTATTAATCTTATCCAAGTTCTCATATCACCTTTATATATGATATCCACTGCAAAAAGAAAACTGCACTTTTCCTCGTCTCATTTCACATCTCGTTAAGACTATAAGATCATACAGACCTATATCGGTCATAATTTTTTGGAAAATTTCACCGGTCCCAGTAAAGTCGAATTTCCTTAGCGAGGGCATAAAATTTTGCAAAACCGCAATGTAGCTTTTTAGCCCTTCACTTGATGATTCGAACGGTGTATGACAATCGAGAGAAAACCTTCAAGCCAACGACTTGATAGTTTTGTCAGATCAAGGTGTCGATGTGTCGGTGCACGAGTCTAGTTTAGCTCGCTGAAAGAGGCAATAACGAAGAAATATTCTCAAACCTACATAGACTTAGTTCTTTTCTCATGCTGAGTCCGAATAAATCACTTTCAAAAATTTAGAGTAAATGTAAATGGGTGGAATTTTGAGTTTTCTTGAAAACTGTGAAAAGTTCATTTTTTCTGTGGCTTTCAGTATTTTAAACATTTCTCGGTCAAAATTCGATTGAAAAATTTTAAAAGGACATATTCTACTCGTTGAGCCCTATTAAACCATCTGTGACTCAAACAAATCGAAAATCCACTCCTCTTTCGCATTTCTAGCATCTTACATTGTAACAAGCATATGTGGCTTGTTTTGAAATGTTACATCGGCTGCATGTTTTCGGTTTCCTAATGCAACATGTTTTTAGTAGTAACTGAGTTATTCGATAGCAAAAAAGACGCTATAATGATCAGAAGCCCAACATGTGTTATAAAGATGAACTTTGATATTAAAAAGTGGTATAATCATTGAAAAAATTGCACTTTTCGCCTGAAAACTTTTAGAAAAATCATGATACTTTTTAGACTCTTGCTTAAATTCAATGACAGAGCATTATGATGTCAGGTCTGTATTAATTAGTCGATCAATCTGCAAAGACAACAAACGTATTGCTAGTACAAGTAACGCCGATCTCAGTTACAGTACATTGCTTCATTATATTAACTAGATATCAAACTAGCAAGGATACTTTGTGCTCAAATATAAGGATCAACGTTGACTATTTCTTGGGATGAAGATCATGATAATAATTGTTGAGTTTAATAACAAATTTAAACCTCAAATACGATCATTTGTGATCCATTCATATCATTGACAGAACATAATGTTCAGTAGGACAAAGAATAGATAATTAAAAGTATAGTTAAGAGAGAGTCTTTATTTTCAAAGAAAAAAGGGATAAAACTACTCACATTGAACACATAAGTCATTTTATACCGCATACATTTCGAGAAAAGTTCAACATTTTACGATGGTTTTATCTTAATCGATCCTACAAAATTTCTAATCAGTTAAAAAATCGATCGTTGTCCGTTGTGCACTGCCACCAATGGATCATTCGTAAATTTTCTGTGAGGAATGTAATGCTCTTGATCGCTTCGACTTTTTTCAAGAAGTTTTAGTACTATTTCACTTAGACAACACAAATGATTTCGATCTTCTTCGAGATAAATGCCGAACCATATACCCAGCATTAGTTAAATTTTCATTACATTTCACTCCGCTACAGTATATCGATCCTCGAATACATCATCTCGATATGATTTTACGGAAGACTGATTGTTATACAGTGATCAAGACTATTGGTCTCCAACTCATTATGTTCCACTACTAAAACCTCGTGTATGTAGCATGTTTTACTTTTAAGTTATACTGTTTATAACAAAAGTCTATTGGATTTAGCCTATAAATACATCATCGATGATCTCCTACACGAAAAAGGTACGTTTTTCATCGTCTCATCTAAACATTATAATAGAATAATAATAATAATAATAATAATAATAAAGTTTGCTTCGGGTAACGTTATAACTGTGTAATTTACATTCTTATTAGCACATGAAAGTTGACGATAAGACTAATAAAAAGAAGAAACAACAAATGAATGTCGAACAACCCATACAAGATATCGATATATCGTTACCGCAAAGTTTTGTATGTTTTTTGTCCTCTAATATTCGTTCAACTAACAGACTTAATAGTAACTAAAAATATATGTCTGATATCTAGAAAATGGAAAGAGATTATCTTCAAGCAACTTATGCTGTAGCTAAAGCTGTTATTGAAATAAAGCAAAAAAAAGAACCAAATGTACATATCATAGAAAGATATTGTTGCACTCTAACATCATTTGCATTCTCGAAAACTTAGACTGATACTAAAACAACATTCAGTACTATGATTTTACAAGGTATACGAAATGTAGTACCAGTTGGAAAAGTATGTCACGTCACTTTATCTTCCTTGTTTAAAACTTCCAGGCAATTTTCTCTTCTTAGAATAAAAATAGCCGTATTAAAAAATGCAATGCTGTTAATAAACGTGGCATTACATTTAATGTTCGAAAATTTGATAAAAGTTGATCCAGATTTTAATAAAAAAGAATTATTAAATAAATTCGTTCAAGATGTGGAATATATATTAAGTTAATTAGGTGATCAATATTCAAAGTCAAATATCGAAAAAGAAATTACCGAATAATTACATTTTTTAAAAGGTGAATGTGAAAAAACTGTCAGTAGAACACATATGAAAAAAGAACTTTGTTGGAAACATATAATATTATTAATATTAGATGTCGAAAAAATTTAAATGTCGATGAGAAATATGACGAGTGGTTAAACTCCAACTTTGAACATACATTTGAAGTTGACAATAACACGAGCCAGGATGCTCAAGAAAATATAGAAAATATAACTGACATATCTGTCAATGACCAATTAACACTAGAGTTCGAAAAGCACGTCAACTATATCGCGATTTTGATGTCTTATAAATTAATTTTGTATATATTCAAGGATCATAACAACATGAATATTGAACAGTATCAAGAAGTGGTCGATGTTATTATTAATTATTTGAATGAAGAAAGCTTGAAAGCTGATGTCGATTAAGCGGTATTAGAACGCTCTTTTAAATGGTCTCTTCGTACAGCGTACGCAACACAAATTAAAGCTCGTGTTGCCCGACAAGAAAATATGTTGCATAAAATTAATTTTACAATTCTACGTAAATCAGCGGCAAATATTCCACAAACAGTATCAGCAAGAAAATCTCAAATACTGCAAAGATCAGTTGTTATCGTGCAACACGTTGTTCCACAATATACCTGTAGAACAGACGAGACTTAGGTCTCTTTCTTAGAGAAAGGAAAGAAAGCTGAAGTAAACATATCGCAAATAGGCATGCAAGAATACCAATCGTTATTGAAGATATTGTACAATATTTATTGGGTAATACTGTGTTGCACAATACACTGAATTCCAACTTTTTAGCCTTAATATCATTTACATTCATAAAAACGTGATCAAGCGTATCCCAGTCAGGATCTAAAAATGTATCCCGATCGGGATTAGGTATGCACTGATTAATAATCGATGTCAGGGCATTCAGTAAAGTCGTTCCAAACCAGTTATAAAGAAGCACTTACAGCTGCCGAATGTCTCATTTTGTAGAAAAATGTTTGCTCTACCAAACTGAAATGCTAGAAAAATTTTAATGTTATATAGAGAGAAAATATAATAAATGAAAAACGCACTAAAATCACAGATAAATAATTGGTAGTTGACTAACTTTTTGCAATTTTGCTCAGTTTTGGATGTTTATATTTCTGTCACCGATAATACTAAAAAAAATTTTGCACTTCAGTTTGGTAGAGCAAACATTTTTCTACAAAATGAGACATTCGACAGCTCTAAGTGCTTCGTTATAACTGATTCGGAACGACTTTGCTGAATGATCTAACGTCGATTATTAATTGGTGCACAGGTAATTGGGTTATATTTTGATTCAAAATGGGATAAAGCACATTCGTCTGTACTGTAAAAGTAGGCTGGACTCGAGCGACGCTATACCCAATAATATTGTGCCTAATATATTGGATGCCCAATATTATTGGTTTCAATATATTGGGCATTAATTATTGGGGCATTAACATCCACTTCCCCGATACATACACATTCGTCGGATCAACTTGACGATCCATCTTCACTATTAGCTCCTGAAAGTAAAGTACTTTCTCATTCGTTGACAAATACTGTGTCAATGAGAACTTTATCGACCGATGGTAAATATGATTTAACAGAAGAAATTGACTTTCAACGTAAACAAAAGAAAATCGATAGAGAGTGAATATTATTAAAAAACAGATTTTCTATCGGCCAAACTAGAGTTTTCCATATCAAACGAAGCTTATCAAAAGCTGCATTTACTGTGCAATCTGTACAATACACGATACCAGCAATGCGAACAATAATAGAACTTTTGTATATTTATGAAAATAAAATTTCAATCATAACTAATGAGTATGGTGTTTATCTTCATGTTCGTCATGTCATTGTCATGTTGACATACGGACATAAAGATATTCTTGATTCAATTAGAAAATCAGGAAAACGAATATTGAACTTTCGTTTGTGTCAAGATGGTACTTAGATCGGACAGGAGTTAAATGTGATAGTATCTAGTCTTGGATGCGTCGACGCTGGGCCAAAAGCTCAATCCGCGATGAGTCTGGTGCCATTGGCTATTGCAAAGGTACCAACAGAAGATCGATTAAATTTAGACAGATACGTAACTCAAGATTTTATTCGGATGTTCGAGCGTGATCAAACAATGATGTTGGATGATTGCCAGTATCAATTGAAATTTACCTATAGCGCCGATTAAAAGATGATCAGGTTATGGGTCTCGCTGGTGTACAAAGTCCGTATTATTGTAATTGGTGAAAGTATATGAAAATGACTTTAGGTAAGTAAGTTATACTTTAATACTTGATCAGATCTTTATTGCAAAAAAGTGGTATGCCAGTATTGTATCATTAGAGCTTTCCATTGAACTAGTATGATTGTACTGTCATTAGTTATGCTGAACCTTCTAGTTATGAATTCCCTGCTACTGTTGCCACAACTGTCAGCACAGTACAAGCTAGCACAATGACCACTGCATCAGATAATGACGAAGAAGATTTGTCAATAAGACGAACAGGTTCAAAACGTCGAAAACAAATAAAAAAGCCTCTACCATCAAAACCAGTACGTGATGATCTCGATGATGATATTATATAAACTTACTTACCAATGAGAGGAGCTAGTTTAAGACGCGGTAAAAAAAATCCAAAAACAATAAAAATTAAATTACCACCGATCGACCGAGAAACAATGTTTAGCAGATGGTCAGCATATGATCCAGCGAAAGGGGTTCGAACATTGGATGAACACTAATGAACAAGTTAACACAGCACATCCAAAATACGGTTATGAGCAAAAATCTTTATACGGTAGAAATTTCAAGTAATTGTTTTAAATTTTTCCAAAGAACTATTATTCTGCACAAAACTATAATGATTTAGTTACGTCAAAATTGTGGCAGATATACTACATATGAAATGCGTATATGTGATCAACTGTTAAAACATTCAATAAAAACAGCCTGTGATGTAACAGCTGCAGGTGCAACACAAAAGGATGCATTTACATTTTTTACACATTTCAGTACTACAAATCATGTAAGAACTGTATCGATTTCAATTTCTTTATATATAAATATCATTTAGAAATACGCTTTTGCTCAGAAATTTATTCACTGACGCATCTTTTACGAAAAAAGTAATCTTTCTTGCTTATATTAAGAGAAAAGACTTTCTCATAACTTTTTCAGTGAAAAACTTAAATTTGAGTATAATTACTTTATTTATAATTAGCGCGTTTTTTTGAAATAATAACATATGCGAATTCATGACGAAATGTACCGATTGTGCTAGGAGTGTTCTGTGTTCGAGTTTAACTTTTCCTTGCTTTAAAAGATATTGAGTGTTCATTTTACCTTCTATCCGATAACGAGCAGAAGAGATAAGAGCATCAAGTACAGCATGTGTTTTCGTAAAAGTTTAGCAATTCAACTAAATTTTTCAACTGTGATCCATCCTCTAATTCTAGCTTGTCGGTTATTTCAATATTGCTCCACATTTCATTAAAACGTTCTTCAGTTTCAAAAAAGATTTCTTTGACGATACACGACTGCCATTGAATGTTAATAGCATCGATACGTTATCTTTAAAATGATGATCCGAATGCTTCAGTTCTTCAAATAGAAGAGAAACATTTATTCGACTACGTATTCGATTAGTTTTAACTAAGTATTAAATTTTTAAAACACTACAGTATTACCAAGCACGTATATATGTATGCTTTTAATCAACTTGAACTAAAAGTTTCTGATTCCATCGAAACTAATCGAATAATTATAAAACTAGCTTGACATGTGTAACTTGATATGCTCTCTAAGATGGCTGATCTGAAATCGCAAATTCAATTGAAAAGTTTCATGGTGTGATTTTCCAGAAAACACACTTGATTTTCCAGGGGATCTTAAAACATCTCAAAAATCCCACTGTGACTCATGATAGTACACTTGGTGTACTCCAACAATATCGTAGGGGCGAGAGATTCGCCCGATTTTCCGAGAGAAAATCTTTCTCCAAAATGATCGGATCGATGATTTGGCTATCACGAGATCATCTACTGTAAAAGAACGGAAGCATGTCTGGAGCTCGCGGTTGTGTGAATTTGTAGTAGGCACTATCTAGTAGTTATAATAGAATTCTTAAGTCCAAGTAATGTGTCGTCACGGAGTTGTACGTAGTTTAAACTGACAGTTTCCTTAGATGTCGGAATTTGTGCATTTTCGAGCTCTTTGCAAAAATTGAATAACTCAGCAACAACTTTAGGATCTACGGTTTTCGTCCAAATGCATGAAAATGTCTGCTCTAAGAAGCCCTTACTATACCGGAAATCACAGATAGCCGATTGAGCAGCAGTATACGGTAATAGGGCGTGGCTTATCTTTAATGGCCCTTAAATTGTACACTATCGACTGAAGAGAGCACCATAGTATGTCTCAAAACGCGTGTCATACTTCCTGTAATTTGGTTATATATTTGAATAAATGTTTTTCTTCTTCGCCTTTAAATATTTTTGAAATATAAGAACGTTAAAAAGAGAAGGTTAAAATAATGATTTTGTATTCGTCATATCTGTACTGACACATGTAAATAGCGATACCTTTTACAGCCTTCTTTCCTCAGCTCTTTTTCTTCATTCTTTCCTCGTGTGATTTCACCTGCTTACGTTAAAGTATATATACATGTATACAGGCAGATTCGTTTAGAGACGATAAGATAAAAATGGTTACACAGTTTCAACAACTCGGTGATGAAATTATTATGGATTTGTGGGAATATATGGACTTATTTTCCCTATGGCATGGTTGGTTCAATCTTAATTATCGATTTAATCAGATATTGTTCGATGATCGCCTTCGATTCACATTGAATTTAAAACTATTTCCTGATGACGAACGCAAACATTTTTTTAAGTTTTGTATATTAACAATGCCACTCGTCTCTTCTCGATTGACTTCATTGACAATGACAAAACTTTATACAAAGAAATTCATATTGTTGTGTGATCAATTGAAGTTTGATCGATTGGAAATGTTAATATTTGACGATACACACGGAGAAGGTAATAAACAGAGTTTTATGTACTTCTAAATGAGTGATTTTTTTGATCTTCATCAGGTTATTATGCCATGACTGAGCAGATGCTACAATTCATTTTCAATGTCAAATCTTTAAGAAAATTGACTGTTTCCACTCAAACGTGTGACGATACAAAATCCATCCTGTCGAGAAAACTTATTTGTGAAAATCGGTTACCTCAATTAACAGCATTTACGTTGCACAATGGGTATTTTAATCTCGAGCTTTACTATCACAACTTATCAGCGACGAATGCTATCAAACGATTAAGTATCAATTGTGAAATGAATGATTTAACAGGAATATTTCATTGTTCAAAAAGTCTGAAATATCTTAGAATGGGTTTGTCTGATGGGTAAGTTTATCTCCAATATTTGTTGCTATTATAACTTGATTAAACATGTTTAGATGGACTTATGAAACATGGAAAGGACGCGGCAAGCCAGCGTTGCCCGCGTTACCAACACTCAGAGAAATGTGTGTTGGTGTTCAAAATATACCGTTCGATGATTTATCTAACATAGTGAGAGCGATGCCAAACGTCGAACGTCTTGAGATTGATGGAATATTAAAGGATAGGTATTGTTACGATGGAGAAAAGTTAAAACATTTGTTTTCTAGCATAAAGACGGTGACCATCAAGAATCTTGAATATCAAACAAAACGGTCTATGAGCACATTTCGATTCATGAATGATGAGTATTGGTACAACGTCAAGTGTGAAAAAATCAGTGAACGCGGCTCGTTGAGTTTATCAGCTATGGGAGGATATTGTCGTAATTAACGCTTTCGTTTTTTATGTTAAAAATAAATTCTGTAACACCTTGTTGCATCGACAAAATGCTGAACAGGAAAACGCGATAAATGACATTTAAACCTCGTTTATGTCAGACTTTTATCAAAATTACTATTTAAGTAATTAGTCTAACTGTAAATAATTCCGCATAACAGAAAACTAATATGTTTTTTGAAGAAAAAAAAGCGTCAGTCTGACTTGTAAATATGATCGACGACGAATTAACTCATAATCTGGTATATTCTACGCGAGCTAAAGCATCATTGCATTTATCCGACATATTCGAGTTCAATTGAAGCAACAAATTCTTGACATTTACTTCCATAGGTTTTACTCTTTAACTAGAAATGTAAGAAAAATCTGTCGGAGACATGCGCGAAAGAGTAGGAGAGGTATAGAAAAACAGTATACCCAGTAACGCAAAATGTAGTTTCAAAAGCCTGGAGACCTATGTCCAGTTCTAGAGCTCGTCTCGAAATTCATCCATTCTGTTCATTGGTACTAATGCCGTTTCATACGATCGCAGGATACAAAATAGTGTTTATTGCTTCTACGGGAAGGTATAGGTTTATTTTATCAGGAAATATAAAAGTAAAAAACTAGAAAAGGTACCGCTGTTTTTATCACTGTTCTTTTCGTAACCAACCAAAATTTTGTTTACGAGATCTGTACTCAAACATACAGTTTCGTCTGGTTGCATCATTGATCAGTTTTGACCAATGTTCATTGATCTATAGAGATTAATGAGCATCATGATAAACAATTAGATAGATACTCCCGTAATCGAAACTTACATTTAATGATTGTAAATGTCCTATAATATAAACAGCATATTTTCCTCGTGTCAACGATACATTCAAACGTTGTTTATTTCCTACAAAACCAATACTTCTTCGATTATCTTCTTCTTGTTGTTGTGCTCTCACCGATGATAATAAAATTATGTCTTTTTCTCGACCCTGAAATCCGTCAACAGTGCTAACATCAATATTCGTCGATAATTGTTGTTGAATCAGCTGCAATTGCTTTCGATAGGATGTAATGATACCTATTGTCAAAAGTGGTATATTCTCTATTGTAGTTAGAGACCGGATTAAATCGACTACAACTTGTGCTTCGATTTCATTATAATAAGATTGTATAACGGGATCTAATTTAATGAATCACGTATGATTGCAGCTGAACTATTCATATTTATAAACTTATTTAAGCTTTCGAATAAACTTTATTCATCATCAGAAAATACAACAAGTTATAAAATGTACCTATAGAGTGAACTGTCTAACACACTTATATATATATATATCTATAGTCTTTGAAGAAACAGAAAGAAAAACAAGAAAACTGTTCGTGAACGTTACTGTTTTTTCTTTTTCCTTCCCTTCACATTTGTACTGAAATGACCTTCTGGAAAGACGTAAAGTGGAACTGATCTATCAATACCATTAAAGATAGGACCTTTTGATCTGATAGCAAGAGATTCTTTAACTAACAACCGATAACGATTATTGTCTCGTTCTACAATCGAAATATTCTTGAAATCGATTGAATGTCCTGTTTTTATTACGTGTTTTCCTAGAGCTGATTTTGGTTTAAACTCTTCTTGTACTGGCGGAAGCTGTGTTGAAACA